GTACTGCAGATAGGGTGTTTGCCTTGCACGCAGCTGACCCGGGTTCAATCCCCGGCATCCCATATGGTCCCCTGAGCACCACCAGGAGTAATTCCTGAGTGCTGATGCCAGGAGGACCCCCTGAGCATTGCCGGGTGTGACCCAAAAGCAACAAAACAAAACAAAGCAAACCAAACCACATCCTTGCTGAATAGCCCGCACTCAACTCTCACTGTCCATCTCTTTGGCATCATGAATACTTTCCCCATAAGAGTGTGGAGCATTTTAATCAGAGCCTTTCCGAGTCCCAGCTTGTGATTTCCAATGTCTCTGCCAACCTGAGTGGGGTCCAAATGCTGTTTCTTTGAGACTATTTTGGAGCATGCTGTGCAATTTTGTTGCTGGAGTTGGACAGGATGTTCTGGGTAAAAGGAACTGAGGTTGATAATGAGGCTTTTAGTGCAACATTTTATGTAGCAGAGGGTAGGTTCTGTTCACCAGCTGCTCCTGCTGGAGGTGTCAGAGGCTGATTTCCCGTGATCTTGCCTTTGTCCTCTCTGGCTAGCTTCCCCCTCCAGGCGCCTGGGATAAGGACCAGCTTGCAGCTCTTCCCACACTCCTATCATTTAAAGCCCTGCTGATGTGGCAAGGTGCTGGGGCGAGGGACGCCTGGAGACGGCTGACTTCAGCGCTTTCCCACCTCCCCCTCCACCCTGCCGGAGAGCAGCTCTGAGGGCTATGGGCATTTCCTTTCTCCGATCTCAGGTAACATTCCCTTGCCCCAGGCCTTAAGAGCAGAATTCTCCCAACGGGCTTCCAGAGTGGCAGCACGGAAACGGGTGAAGAGGGCTCATGTGCAGTGGCAGAGTGCACTTTGGGTGGCAGCATGTGTGGCACGTGCCGGCGTCGACTCCGGATGCTGCCTGCCTGAAAATCCTGGTCTTTTCCATTTGGGGGCCATACCTGGTCAGGTTCAGGGCTGACTCCTGGCTCCCAGCACAGGGATCTGGTGGACTCGGGGAGAAGCCAAAGATTGAAGTTGGGGGACCGGAGCAGTCGTACAGCGGGTCGGACGTTTGCCTTGCATGTGCGGCCAACCTGGGTTCAATCCCCGGCATCCCATATGGTTCTCCAAGCATCGCCGGGAGTAATTCCTGAATGCAGAGCTAGGAGGAACCCTTGCACATCGCTGGATGTGACCCAAAAAGCAAAAAACAAACAAACAAAACACAAAGATTGAGCTTCGGTCAGGTGCTTGCATGGTGCCTTACCCGGTGCTTACAGCACTTGGGGGATCTGATGGTTTGGTGGGTCGAACCAGGACTGGCCACACAGAAGGCAACCACCTTACTTGCTGCAGCCATACCATAGCTCCAGTCTCAAGAGCTGTTTTGTTGTGAACCTAAAACAAAGCCACCAAACCAGGCCAGAGAGATAGTATAGTGGGTAGGGCGTTTGCCTTGCATGCAGCTGACCTTGGGTTCAATCCCCGGCATCCCATATAGTCCCCTGAGCACTACCAGGACTAATTCCTGAGTGCCAAGTAACTCCTGAGTGCAGAGTGCCAGGAGGAACCCCTGAGCATTTCCGGAATGCCCAAAAAAGCAACAAAACAAAACAAAGCAAAACAGCCAAACCACATCCTTGCTGGATAGCCAGCCCTCCCTCAACTGTTGTTCGGTTTATGGGCCAAACCAGGTGGTGCTCAGGGGATAATCCTGCCTTAGTGCTCAGGCAAATACCTTACCTGTGGTACTACCTTTCCAGCCAAGATTTGTTGTTTTTTGATTGGGGGCCATGTATGGTGTTGCTCAAGTGTAACTCCTGGTTCTGGGCTTAGGAATTACCCCTGGTGGAGCGATAGCACAGCGGTAGGGCATTTGCCTTGCACGCAGCCAACATGGTCGACCCGAGTTCGATTCCTCCGCCCCTCTCGGAGAGCCCGGCAAGCTACCGAGAGTATCTCGCCCACACGGCAGAGCCTGGCAAGCTCCCCGTGACGTATTCGATATGCCAGACACAGTAACAACAAAGTCTCCAATGGAGACGTTACTGGGCCCGCTCAAGCAAATCGATGAACAACGGGAGGACAGTGACAGTGACAGTGGTGCTTGGGAAACCATATAGGATCCCTGGATGATCCTGGTCACGTAATGAGATTTAAAGATGACCGCTGGACTAGAGCTGTTACCGACTGGAAAGACCGCGTGGCCGCCCACCTACCAGATGGTCAGACTTCTTCATCAAGATCATGAATGATTGGTTTGAGCGAACAGACGCCACTGGGCTACACTAGCATGCAACAGGGACAAATGGAGACGTTACTGGCGCCCGCTCGAGCAAATCAACGATTAACGGGAAGTCAAGTGATCGAGTGCTTTTCTCTTTATTTTAGTTGTATGGCTTACTTAGCAATGTCCTTTCTGTATAGACACAGGATGACAATTGATGCTATGCTATGTAACATGGGAGTTAATTGACTCCAAAATAATATTTACTCCTGGGCATCCATATGTACTTGATTTAAGCCTCAGTTCCCCTTAGTTCCTAGAATTCCAAGAGCAGGGTCCTGATGAGGGACTGGATGGACCCAGGGCAAGCTGTGAGCTACTCTGGCATGGAAATGGGTCAGGCCAAGCGCCATAATACTTAATACCATAAGTTAAGAGCATGGTCATGGGTAAACTCTGTCATGACCCAAAAAGAGGTAACTGAATAAGGACCCTGCTGGGGTTAGGAAAGACTAACCTGGCCTGAGGACTGTGGTCCGTAATATATAGTGAGATGTCCCCAGGAAGAACCAAACCTTAAGCTTAATATACCTCTTACTGTGCTCATACAAAATGACATTGCTAGAAATACAAGAAGTAAATTTACTATGACTGTTTAAGTGGATTACTAGCTGAGGAGAAAGCAGTACACCCTGGATGGAAGGAATCCCGCCTTTGGGCGGATCTCCCAGTAACCTCCTTAGATGAGACTTTGTCCTTGAGGAGCAGCCTTTACCGCTCTTTGTTGATTTGTTAATGTTTGAACATTAACATTTAATCAACCCCACCTTTGCGTCCCTACCTACTTGATTCCTATATAACTGTGCTGTAAGGGGTTATGAGGAGACTGAAGACTGGAGATTATGGAGTAACACTTGGGGAGAGACCAGAGACTGAGACGGCAGAGTAAGACCAGAGACACTAGGGTGGACAGAGGGAGACTGGAAGACGAGAAATGAGAGTCAGACTGGACTGGTTATAAGATGTGTAGAAGAGCTGCTCAAGAGAGACTTGTTGAAGATGCCAAGGCGAGGGCTGGAGTGATAGCACAGCGAGTGGGGCTGTGCACGCCTTGCACGCAGCCGGTTGGCCGTTCAATTCCTCCGCCCCTCTTGGAGAGCTACTGAGAGTATCTCGCCCACACGGCAAAAGCCTGGCAAGCTCCCCGTGACATATTCGACATGCCAAACACAGTAACAAGTCTCATGATGTTACTGGGCCTGCTCGAGCAAATTGATGAACAATGGGAGGACAGTGCTACAGTGCCGAAAACGAGACTCTGGAACTAGACACTGGGAAGGAGATGAAGACGAGACTCAGGACTAGATGTTGGGGCCTGAAGGTCGGCAAGACATTTAGGGTGAGGAGGAAAACTGAGACTTTGGAGACTGAGAGGAGATTTGGATGATGGAACTCTGACCGGACTACGGCCAAAATGACTACGACTGTGCCGTAAAGGGAGAGATCAGACAACGCCGGGGAGTTCACCCGCTGCCCATCCTTCGGAAGAGCCTGGGGAGGAGGTTCTCAGCCACCAAACTCCACCGCCACCTCCTACCCATGTGCGGGCCCACCACTGCAAACCTTTCCACTGCTCCTCTTCTTGTGTTGTGAAAACTCACAGATCCCCAGTCTCCCATATGGGTCTCAAGCCCACGAGGAGTGATCCCTGAGCATAGAGCTAGGAGTAAGCCCTGAACACTGCCAGGTGGGTGATTCCAAAAACGAATACACAAACACACCACACCCACACACACATGCATGTGCACATAGAGCAAACCAGACCAGATACGACTTGGGTGTGGGTGTGACCATCAATGTTCACAGCGGAGCGCTGTGACCCACAGGATTGGACGAGGCCTCACCTCACCGTGGCTGGTCAGGACGGGCTGCGGTATTTCCGTGCGCTCTAGTAGTAGCTGTTAAGGCCTTCAGGCATTTCTTCCCATTTCCCTGTCAAAGCCTCAGACTGTGCTGTCTGCACACAGGACATGCTGGTGCTACATGATGACTGAGGGTTGTCCAACAAGGGGGATCTGGGGTTCAGCTCTTAGACTGTTAAAACATGTGCCTCGCTGTGCCATGTGTCAACTCGGGAGACTTTGCGGGAGCTGATGGGGCCGTGCGGGTTCTACCACCACACTCCCCGTTTCCCTGGCAGGCTGCTTTTTGTGTTCTGTGCTTATTTACGGCATGGGAGTCGCGTCCAGTGCCTTTCACCCTACAGTGCGGCTCCACAGCCTTGCACCCAGCAGCTGTTTATTATACAGAGAAGATGGAAAACATTAAGACATGGCAAGTAACAGCATGGAGGACAGCCGGACCTCGGGGCGGCTGCCTCCGACGCGTGACCTGTGCTGGTGTGAACTCTCCATTTGGAAACATCAAAGTATACTCCGGGGCGAGGAGAGTCTAAAGCAGATGGCACACATGCCGAGCCTGTACCCAACTCGCATCAGATTCCCAGCAGTACCCAGTGTCCCCCAAATATTGCTGGTGCAATCCTGGAGATCCCAGCAGCAGGGGGTTGAAGGGAGCACAGGCAGCCCTGGCATCGTAGCTTTGGACCCTTGTACTAGTCAAGTTGGCCAAGAATTGCTGGTGGGATCCCAAGACCTCCTGAACACCATTTGAGGAAGCCTCTGCCCCCCAAATAAAAAATGTAACTCTTTGCACCGAACTAAGCTAAAATAAGGTAGTTTTACAAAAGATAACATGTAAAATTCAAAGAAGCCCAGTGACAACAAAAAGGACAGAAGAATTCAAAGTGCTAATTTATTTTTAATATCACAATTACATTTCAAAACTATATCATTTACATTCAAAGGTATCAATACCATAATCTATAGCTTACAGTAGGAAATATAAATATAAATATAAATAGCCTACATACACTTTCCATTATTGATACAATTTTACACAGGTTTCTGTACACCCTCTGAGACGCTTCTGAGTAAATAACTCTGAGTCCACTGTCCAGAGAGCAGGCCCAGGTTCCATCAGGTTTGTTCTGTGGTGTGTGGTCTCAGACTCGCGGGCAAATGCCCCCCCACTGAGCTACAGCCTTGGCCAAAGAACCCAAAGACAGAGATTTCTACTGTCTCACCGGCATGTGGCTGACATGGATATGCATGGAGAGCGATGAGTGATTTAGTGCACGGGAGATATTTAACTCTGTTCCATGCCAGCCATGAGTGACAGAGCTAGAGATTCCACTGTGGAAAGAATAAAGATAAGGTAAAAACAGTTAAGTTTGAATATGTCCAAGTAAAGTTTTAATATATTCAAACAACATTCTTACCTTAAAGTAAATGCTATTTTTAAAATTGAATAAAGATGGCAATTATTAAATCCGAATCAAAAAGCTATCATTTAGTTCTATTTTAGCTCTTTTTCATTCTGGAAACAAATCTCTGGGCACTTCGATGAACGAATCACATTTGTCCCATATGTCACAAAACCTGGAGCCAGCTTTAACAAAATGCCATGTCTAGCTACCAGCAGAACAACCCTGCATACTGATCACCAGTGCTTCTCCTGACTGTTTTAACAGACATTCAGTGACTCTGTGAGTAGAACAGAGTTGGAAAATGCAGAAAGGTGAAGTGTTTCCCCCCCCCCCAACCAAAGCTGACAGACTGTGCTTTGTCCTGTGTCCACAGATCCCACAGCTTCTTCTGCTGTGACTCACCCCTCAGGCCTCGTCAGCTCACACTGTATTTTCTGTTTTTATGGGGCCACCCCCAGTGGTGCTCAGGGCTGACTCTGGCTCTGTATCAGCCCCCCCCCACCACCACTCTGGCCCCCTCACTTGTGTTCTGAGTTGTCAGGCCTACGGCTGCTTCTCTGGAGGAAGAAGCAGCCCAAGTAGCTTTGAAACTGCTATGGAGAAGACCCTGAAGTCCACCGAGGCTTCTGAAAGGAGCAGTGACAAGCCTGCCTGGAAAGTAGGAACAAAGTTTCTTCTGCCATCTCTGTGGTCAAAAGTCCACAGGCCCAAAAAATGACTTGCAGATTAGGAAGCATGCGTCACATCTGATCCGTGTGCACCCCACTGCATCCCTCAAAACAAATCAAAGCCTTGAACAAACACTGAGGGACTTCTCAGGCTGGAAAACAGTGAAAAACTCCTGACTGTTCATAAGGCCAAGCCTTGAACAAAAAAACACACCGAGTAACCAGGACACTGGGCTGGCATGGTCGTATTCTCACAGGGTACTCACAGTGGGGAAAGGATCCTCGACAGACGGCTTTATTCAGGATGGTCACAAGAAACAGATGGCAGTTTTTAAAATCAGACTCCATCTTCTCTATAGACTCCATCCTAGGGGAGAGAGTGCAGAGGAAGCACACAGGTCAGCTACAAATTTCTGTGTGGTGATTTCAAGTGTACTTTAACTTTTTGAAACGTTTAAAAATAAAACAAAATACTCTGCATCTTTTGATTTTTGAAAAATATTTAAAAAAAAATTTCCCCCTTTTTTGGTTTACACCCAATGATGCACAGGGGTTACTCCTGGCGGTGCTCAGGGGACCATATGGGATACTGGGAATTGAACCTGGGTGGGTGCGTGCAAGGCAAACGCCCTACCCGCTGTGCTATCGCTCCAGCCCCTTAAAATTTTTTTAAGATACTAAGGTATGGCGGGCTGTAGCGATAGCACAGTGGGTAGGGCATTTGCCTTGCATGTGGCCGACCCGGCAGACTCAGGTTCAATTCCTCTGCCCCTCTCGGAGAGCCCGGCAAGCTACCGAGAGTATTTCGCCCGCACGGCAAAGCCTGGCAAGCTACTTGTGACATATTTGATATGCCAAAACACAGTAGCAAGTGTCACAATGAAGACGTTACTGGGCCTGCTCTAGCAAATCGATGAACAGGAGGGCAGTGACAGTAAAGGTATCACAATTTACATGGTTATGCTCACAGAATTTCAGGCATACGATGTTCAACACCAATCTCAAGTGTCTCCTTCCTCCTACGATGTCCCCAGGTTCCCTCCTGGCCCCCAGCCTGCCTGTCAGTCCTACCAACTTTTAAAGAAACCTTTGCACGTGTTTGAAAAACTCGTGTGGATATAAATTCGGGATGGCAGGAGGACTGGGCCCTGACCCCTTCCTTTCCATGGTTCTGTTTTTGTTTTTCACTTGTACTTCTCTTCTACAAGAAGAAACAGATCAATGCGTTGACTCTGGCATCGCAATTTGTGTTAATGAAACCACACCCAAGCGTGACCATCAATGGTACACATCAGCACCAATATGTTAAAGATATAAAATGCTAAATGTAAATGCTATTTTACGGGGCAGAGAGGTATTACGGTAGGTAGAGCACCTGCCTTGCACACAGCTCCAGAAAAATGAACAGTTCATGTCTAAGTGCTACATGATGTGGTGCTAGTATGGAAGGAAAGGCTATAGCATGAAGTCAGTTAAAAGGGAAGCTGGAAAGACTCGAGGCTGCATAAGGCCCATACTTACCGCCAGCTACCCAGGCCAGCCTGCCAGCCATCTGCGAACATGAGCGCCAAGTTCAACACCTTCATGATGGCCTCCTTCACAAAGCTGACCTGAAGACCAGAGTCATGTCAGTCACTGTCTCTGTCTGAGGGTCAGTCACCTATGCTGACATCACTTAATTCAGGAGAGCCCGGCAAGGCTGTCAGCCCCTTTCCGTGTAAGGCATGGGTGAGACCCCCACTGAGACAGGGCTTGAACCCTCACCAGACTCCAAGTCTGGAATTGTAGCAGAGCCTTTCTGGGATGGCCACTTCACTCCCCAGTGAACTGGGACAGTACTGCAGAGGCTGTGAGATGATTTCATGTCAGAGTTACCTGAGGCTGGCTGCAATTCCCCACTAAAGCACTGGTATGACTGTAGCACTAGCGTGGCTGAAGCACTGGTGTAAACGAGATACAGGTGTAACTGGGGCACTGGCGTGACTGAAGCACTGGTGTGACTGAGGTGCTAGTGTGACTGAAACACCAGTGTGACTGAAATGCTGATGTGTTGATGTGACTGAGGCACTGGTATTCCACAACTGCAGAGTTAGTATCCCAAAGAGTCCAAGTACAGTGTAAAAAGTCCCACGAGTTCTTTTCTCTTCCCTTCAATGCAACTTCCAGCCATATGGTCCAAGTTTGCAAGCTCACTCAATCTGGTGCTTGCATGGAAGATTATTCTCCAGAATAAAAACTCAGCAAGCCAACCTGCCCTCAGCCAGCCTCAACGGCCCAGTGTGCAGGGGGCATCGCACGCACCTTCTCTCTCAGCAGACACCGGTCATGGATGGTTGACAGGTATCTGTAGTGGATTTTAATCAGCTGATCCAAATCCTTGGCTTCCTCAACCTGATGCTGGAACTCCAGCCCCGTACTGTGAAGAATCTTGGAGGGGAAAACAGAAAGTTTTTTCAGCAGAGGCGTTCTTTGTGGACTGATGCCAAAGTCTATCAACATGCCTTCTTTGAGGACCAGACAGAAAACTTATCACTGGTCTCCTCTATTCTCCTAAATTGGCCACAACACCTAAGGCCAACAAGGTCTCCCTCTTTGAAGGTAGGTTCTGGTCAAGGCACTGGGGGGTGGGGGCGTGGGCTCTCACAATCAGTCCATGCCTCCTTCTCACTCACCGTCCCTGTGAGCACCAGCTAGCACATCAACCACACAGAAAATGCACTGACTTCCACATTATCAGTTAAATCTGTTGCATAGAACTATTTCTTCTTTTTCTTTTCCCCCCCCTTTTTTTCCCTTTTTTGGGGCATACCTGGCAGTGCTCAGCGTTTATTCCTGGCTCAGGGGATCATATGAGGTGCTAGAATCAAACCTGGGTCTAACACACACAAGGCAATCACCCTGTCTGCTGTACTATATCGCTCTGGCCCTGAACTCTTTTGAGAACTTTTTCTAGAACCACTTTTAAGAAAGGTGAGAAGTATCATTTACTTTAAAATAAGTTTTCTTGTTTCTAAAGGAAAACTTTCAGGAGTGAGAGAGAGGCAGAACAGTGGTTAAAACCTTCAAGGATACCAGCCCACAGGCTGCAGCCCAGAGGCCTCTGAGCACTGCCAAGGTGGCTGGGGGATTCCCGGCTGCATCCGAGCACAGAGCTGCTGGCACGGCTGGCAGAGAACTGCCTTTGCCACTGCCCACCCCCAAAGGAAAGAGCATGAAACCCGCTACTCTCATCCTTACGCGGCACAATGGCCTCACCCAGGTGTCACTGCAGAGGAGCTGCTCCCCAGGGCAGAGGAGACCCAACGCTCAGCAGGCTCTTCCCCAAGAGGAGCCCTGGATGGCCCGAGGCAAGGGCCACAGTGCCTGTAAGGCAGCGCCTCCACACTCTGACCGGTCCAAAGCTGTTTCCCCCACAGCCATGCTTATGCATGATCATGTTTCTGATGCGGCCACAGTGGGAAAGCAGGCTCTAAGGAGGGCAGGCAGACACGAACCCTGGTCATGATGTAGTTGTGTAAGCTGTTCACAAAGTGCATGAGCTTCACGCGTAAGAGGAACATACGATGGATCCGCTGTCTCACTGGCTCTTTCCGAGGCCCACCTGGGGCGGCTGTGTCCTGCTCACTGCTGAGCCCTGCTCTGAGTTGTGGTTTCTCGGCAGCACTAGCCTTTTCTGTAAAAGGTTAAAAAGGGAAGGCAAAAATCTATCAACATTCATATCTATCAACAAAAAGTTTTTTCTCACCAGATTCAACATTACTTATGATAAAAACTCCACACAATGAGGAAAGAAGAAATATATCTCAACATCGTGTGGGCATTATACAATCTCATGGTTAAGCATCCTATTTAGTGATTTAATGGTGAAAAACCTTAAGCCTTGGGGCTGAAATGATAGCACAGCGGGTAGTGTGTTTGCCTTGCACTCGGCCAACCTGGGTTCAATTCCCAGCATCCCATATGGTCCTCCAAGCACCGCCAGGAACAATTCCTGAGTGCAGAGCCAGGAGTAAATCCTGGGTACTGCTGAGTGTGACCCAAAAAGATAAAAAAAACAAAAACAAAACAAAACAAACAAAAAAAACCTTTAAGCCTTTCTTCTTGTATCAGGAACAAGATGTTCACTCTCATCATTATAAATCGACACAGCACTGGAAGATGCAGACAGAGTAATTAGACAAGAAAAAGAAATAAAATGAAAATAAAGTGGAAATGTGAAACTACCACTATGTGCAGGTGATGTTAATTGAAAACCCTAAAGACTACACGGAAAACCTATTAGAAACAGTAAGTGCAGGCTCCAAATCAATCCACCAAGCCTGCGGCACTTCTACATGCAAACGACAAACTAGGAAATAAACACAAATAAACACTGACAGCTGCAGGGCTGGGCTGGACGTGCAGGAGGCTCCAGCACTGCTGGACCAGGGAAGGCCTGAAGCCAGGCCAAGTACTGCTGGGAGAAGCCCCCCGAACCCTTGAACCTTGTAATCTCTGCCCAGTAAAAGATAAGTTTATAATGGCATCAAAAAGAAAAATAATCCCACAAATGTCATTTAGAAGAACTCCAAAATGACTATCTTACCTAAAACTATGTAAGAACTCAATGCAATTCCATACGAAACTGGAGTGAATGTTGCTAAATTCTGGGTGGACTCCCAAGCCCTCGGCACAGTCTAAGGAATCCCTAGACAAAAGAACTAAGGCGCCACTTCTCTCCCCCACAGGTTCCAGCCACACTGCACAGCTACGGCAATGGAGAATAGGACGGTACTGGAAAAGGGCGGACACACAGATGAAAGGAACATAAGCGAGCTCTCAAGAATTAATCCTCATCAGTAGAGACTGAATTTACTACAGAGGCCAAAAGCCTGAAATGTAGAAAGGGAAGTGTCTTTAACCAGTGGTGATTGGAAAACTGGTTAGCTATATGCAAAAGAAAGAATATCTAACTTCATGTACAAAAGTTAACAGAAAATGTATGAAGAACTGGACAGTGGAGTCCAAACCATAAACCGGAGTATTCATAAAATAAAATACATCAGGGGAAAGATGAATTTTGGGTGACCTCATGTGAGACATAAGAAGCAAAGCAAGGGGAGAGATAAGGATCATGGAGGATGCCTGAGGGACCCCCAAGCACTGCCAATGTGGCCCAAACAAAAGCCAGACAAACAGGCACTTGGAGACCACAGGGGCAAGGAGTGCGAACAAGAGGGGAGAAGCCCAAGGGCTGGGGTGCTGCCAGTGCTTTGGAGACAGCTGTGTGCTAGAACATGGATTTTGAAGAGCTGTGAAACTGAACCCTTAACACACATACGGAGTTTCACACCAACATAACCTCAAGAAAAGGAAAACATTGTATGTAATTTGGCTAAATTCCTAATCACACTATTTTGCTTCACTCAGGGAAGTTAATTATGAGATCTGTGAAACTGTTGCTGTAAGTACACGTATCTGGATATTTATTTTTCAATCTGGATATTTCTATATACACACACACAAAAAATGTGACCAAAATAACAAGCACCTTTTTAAATATGAGGCCAAAATTAAAATGTATTTATTTACTGAAAATATCTTACCTCCAAATAGCAAAACATCCAGACTGTATTTTGCCCACTTTATTTGCAGTAAGAGAAGGAATACTTGATTATAAATTTTTTGGCATTCCAGGCTTATAACAATATCCACAGGCCATGGAACCTATTGGAGGGAACCCCAGAAAATCAGAATAGGAAGTAACCTAGTGCTTGCAAGCTTTAATCTTAGAGGACAACACTTTTGTGTTTTTGCTTTTGGCTCACACCCAGTGATGCACAGGGATTACTCCTGGTAGTGCTTGGCGGACCATATAGGATGCTGGGAATCGAACCCGGGTCGGCCGCGTGTAAGCTAAACACCCTCCCTCTATGTTATCGCTCCAGCCCCAACATTTGTTTTTTTAATAAAGAATATCAATGCATACCTTGTAGCTGAGGGTCAAGCCATCTAAGATATGAACAGGAAGTTTCTTTTTGGCTGTGTCAACATTTTCAAAAGCTATGGACAGACTAGAAGAAGAAACTTTAGTTTTTGTTTGTGTAAGTACTCTGCTCACCAAAATTATTCTTTTAAAAACTCTCAATATTTTAACATTTATTATCATGGTATATATAAACTATACTATTTCGTATATATTTATACTCCATAGTATAAATTTTTAACAAGTCTCACAATGTAATTGGGGCCACTCGAGCAAATAGATGAACAACGGGAGGACAGTGACAGTATAAATTATACTATTTCATAAAATTCAGACTAATATTCCAATATAGACCTGTATTACCTGGTTATGCTCAGAGCTTAACTCTGCCTCTGTGCTCAGAGATCACTGCTGGTGGGCAACAGAAGTAAGAGGTGCATGGGCCGAAGCAATTGTACAGTGGGCAGGGTGTTTGCCTTGCATATGGCCAACCTGGGTTCAATCCCTGGCATCCTATAATGGTTTCCCGAGCACCAACAGGGTGATTCCTGAGTGCAGGAGTATCCCGAGCATCACGGGGTGTGGCCAGCCCGAACAAAGGGAGACAGAGCACAGAGATGTGCTGGGGGCTTGACTCTGGTCACAGTTAGGTACCAGGCCAAGAGGCTCTCCCACCCTGGATGGGAGGAGATGGGAGACACATGGCAAGTGTGCTGACAAGACAGGGCTGCACCTCTCACATGGACACTACCTTCACCTTCGGCCTTCTTGCTGCTACTCTAGAGGTGACTCTGAGAATAAAAGTGACTAACCCAGGCCATGGGCCTGAGCTGTGTGCTGGGCATGCCGAGACTAGCTAGGGCACAGCTCATTATAAAGCACGGAAAGTAGTTAGTCCGTGTCTAAAGCTGCTCTGCTTTACACAGGATTTGGTTTTGGGAACCAAAAGGAGCTGTTTTCCGGAATTAAACTATGGTAACTGACATTTCTCTGGCCACTGTCCTTCCGGACAGTGTTCATCCCGGAACAACAAGTCCCCAGGAGCCACCTCCAAACAGGCAGGCACAGCAGAGCACTGGTATTTGGCTTGCAGAATTGTACCGAAAGAAGCACATGGAAAGAGCTGCTCTCCAGGGGCCAGATGATCCCAAAATCCACATTCTGTTTCTCAGGAAGTGGACTAGGGGGACCCCAAGGCCCTCTCCAAGTGAGAAATGGCTGAGCTGGCAGACAGCGCAGAGCTGGAACTTGCACCTTCACCCCAGTGAAAAATAGGCAGAACAGCTCCTGGGGGGCAGGGCCAGGCACATGTCCGCAAGGCAGGCTCATGCCCAATCCCTCTGCAGGGGGCACCAAGTGGGGATGCTGAATGGGGCCCCAGAAGGGGCGAGAGCCAAGGTGGGAGCAAGCAGCCAGGTTTACAGAGCTGCCAGGGATGGACAGGTGATGCAGGAAGAATGAGGGCAGCCAGCAACAGTTCTGCCCATGTCACGATGAGAAGGCGGGTCCTCCTGGTACCCGCAGGCAAGAGAGCTGAGTGCCTTACCTACCCCGGGGGTGTTGGGCCCCTGGCCACACACAGTCCCTGTGGTTGGCCTGGCAGGACTGGGGGACACTGCTGGCTTCTGGGGCATGCAGAAGGCACAGCCCTGTCCCCTGGAGTGGTCCTGCCTGGCATGTCTGTGTGTCTGGATATAAAGGGCCTCTGTTCACGGTGCCACCAGGAGCCAGAGAGTGGCCAGAGGTGGCAGCAACAGAGGCATGCAGGAGCTAGAGGTTCTCAGGCAGGAGAGCAGCAGGGGGCCCTGACCAAAGGAACAGGACAGGGCAGGAGAGGACACACGACAGCTGAAGAAAGCCACTGGGTGCCGCCCGCGCAACTCGTGCCAGGCAAGCACTTTACTATTCTGGACCATCTCTCTGGTGCCCTCAGTTCTCCAAAGTGTAAAACAATAGCAAAGTTCAGAAATACCTTAAAATAACCCGCTGATACTCAGGAGGTGCCTTCCACACTCACCGTGCACTGTCTTCTGGGTAGCGCTGTGCGACTGCATCCTGGAGTTGGGCGTTAAGGAAAGACACATTCTGCCAGGTTTCCTCTCGGATCTTATCAAAGATGGATGTGTAGAAGTCATACATAGTATCACCACCTTCCATTAAGAAAAAATTTCTCATGGCCTGCAAGTATTCAACCAACCTAAGTGAAGAGGAAGTGAGAAGAAGGTCTGAGAGAAGCATCAGAATCAGCAGTTTCATGTAATACCATTACAGTGACAGAGGTTTGGGGGGCCAAGTGAGCAGTGCTCAGGCGCCAGCATCCTAGGTCAGTTGCCTGCAAGGCAAACGCCCTAGCTGCTGTGCTACCACTGCTCTGGCCCCGACAGTGACCCTGGTACGTATGCTTTTTGGGTCACACCCAGCGATGCTCAGGGGTTACTCCTGACTCTGCGCTCAGGAATTACTCCTGGCGGTGCTTGGGGGACCATATGGGATGCTGGGAATTTGAACCCGGGTCAGCCGTGTGCAAGGCAAACGCCCTACCTGCTGTACCTTCGCTCCAGCCCCTTTTCTCTATTTCTTTAAGGATGAATTCTCAGAAATAACTGAAGAACTAAATTTCAAACATAGTTAAGAAAACTTTGATAGTTAATTTGGTGACTCTCAAAGAAAAATTACATAACCACTACCTATTTTAACCAAAACTTGAAACTTGAAAGTCTTCAAGTAACTTCACTTGTGTTTCACAACTAGCAAACTTGGGGCTGCTTCTGAAAGTAACTCCCCTTGTACCTGTAATCTTTTTTCAGGGTCCGCATGAGGTTGCCACAGCAATCGAGATACTGCCTGTCAATATGAGGGTAGAGGCAAGACCTCAGCGTCAGCTCAAAGGTCTGGCATGTGACGGATTCTGACGACCTGTCCACAGAGATGTGTCCACCAGCGAACTGCTCCTGAAAGTCACTCTGCTCCAGATACAGCCTTTAACAGAAAAGACACATCTTCATCTAAGGGCTGTTGACAACAGAATTCTCTTACTCTGCAATGTAAGTACATTTGAAAAAGCGCTTTTAAAAAAAAAATTTAGGTCATACCTGGTGATGCTCTAAGGCATATTGGGTGACCATGGGCTGCTGAGGATCAAGCCAGCATCAATAACTTGTTTAGGCAAGGGTCTTAACTCACCAGCCAGTCTCATTTTTAAAATTAGTCTTAAATTGATCAACTCTTGTAGAAAAACCAAACTTTTCCCTCAAAATATCCTTAAGAGTGAAATCAGCTGCTCGATTACTTGTATCTTTCAGGTCAAGTTCTGAGGAGGACTTTCTAGGCCTCGGATATTAGTTACAGCCCTCTCTAATAGAGCTAGCTATATGTCACATAGTCTTGTAAGTGCCTGGAATAAAATTTAAAAAGAGGGGCTAGAGCAATAGCACAGCGGGTAGGGCGCTTGCCTTGCCGAACCCAGGTTCAATTCCCTGCATTCCGTATGGTCCCCCATACGGAATTACTGCCAGGAGTAATTCCTGAGTGCATGAAATGAACCAGGAGTAACCCCTGTGCATGCTGGGTGTGACCCAAAACGCAAAAAGAAAAAAAAAAGAAAAAAAAAGAGAACCATTTCACCTTCAAACACCTAAGGATCCAAAGCCTTTGACACAGGTGAATGCTTGACTCAACATGTCAGGCACCTGTGTAGGCCCCAGGGCATTACTGGCACGGTGTTTGAGGTCACAGCATTCCCCCAGCCCCGGGCCAGGGATCAGGGTGAGACAGGAAGATGGTATGCATTTTCACAAATAAAGAGGCCCAGATGACATCTGGCTTTCTTAAAGAAACTATGGCACATTTACACAATGGAATACTATGCAGCTATTAGGAAAAAATGAAGTAATGAAATTTGCCTATAAGTGGATAGACATGGAGAGTATCATGTTGAGTGAACTGAGTCAGAAGGAGAGGGACAGACATAGAATGACTGCATTCATTTGTGGGATACAAAAAAATATATACAATAAAAAACTAATAATTACAGCCAGGGAAAACAGGGACTAACAGGACTGGTCAATGGTTGGAATCTACCACAAATGTGTGTGGGGTGGAGGGTAGGTAAGATAGAAAAGGGACAAGTATGACAATAGCTGGCAGTGATCACACTGGACAAGATCTGAGTGTTGAAAGTAGGTAAAGGGATATACCTGATAACCTATTGGTGGTATCTACTGGAGAGAGGAGCGAGGCTGGGGGGTGGGTGGGTGAGGGGAGGGAAACTGGGGACCCTGTTGCTGGGAAATGTACAATGGTGGAGGGATGGATGTTGGAATACTGACTGAAACCTTACGTGAACAGCTTTGTAAGATGTAATCTCACTGTGATTCAATAAAAAAAAAATCTTAAAAAAAAAAACAAAACAAAAGGAAGCTCAGATAGAGAAGAGAGCACCAAATGAAGGGTGTTGTGAGGACCCTCCCAGGGTGGGAGAAGCATGCTAAAAGTAGTCTATAGACCAAACATGATTGCCACTCAGTGCCTCTCTTGCAAAACACAGTACCCAAAAGAAGAGAGAACAAGGGGGAATACCCTGCCACAGAGGCAGGATGGGACGGGGGGATGGGGGCGGGGGGGATGCTGGGACCCGTGGTGATGGATGACGGGCACTGGTGGAGGGATGGGCACTTGATTATTGTATAACTGAAACCCAAGCACAAAATTTGTAAGCCTATAACTGTACCTCATGGTGTTTCACTAATAAAAAAAGAAAAAAAAACAAAACATCTAGCTTTCAGTTTTTCACCATTGAGTATGTTTTCTGTGGGCTGCGGTAAATGGCTTTAACTATGCTACCTGGCATGTGGTCCCCTCGAGCATTGTGTGGTAAGTAAAGGCAGCACTTTCCTGGATTCGATGGGAATAAAACAGGTTATCAAGTGTCAGCATTGAAGGCTAAAGAGTGCAACCTGGCAGACAGTCGACATTCCTGGCCTTCGGTCACTTGGAAATGGCAGGGGTGTGTCACCTTGCAAAGTTGATTGCGAGCAGTGGGTCATGAACATCCTCAAGCTCCAGATGTCTATGGGTGATGGACTGCATCTGGACCAGGCACTCCTTGGTGGTCTGCTGCTCCTCAAGAACCGGGGCGGCGGATTCATCTCTACGACGAAGGCGCGACTGCACGGACTCCAGAAATAGGGTGTATAAGCTTTTCCTCTCTGCATCTGAGAAAGAGATGGACGCTGAACCTGGCACCTCTGGTCAGCATCCAAAGGACTAACTTCATTCACCTGCAGATTTTCCTCTGAACACTGACTCTACACATGTATTTTTGATTAAGATTCAATATTGGCACACAAAAATCCATGAATTTCTGTGCATTGGTTTTGTAGCCATCATTTTACTGTACGTATCTATTACTTCTAGGAAATTTTTAGTGGAGTCTTCAGGGCTTGCTAGATATAATATCATGTTATCTGCAAAACATGATATAATATCATGTTATCTGCAAAATCTTTTCCAATCTGGATGCTCTTAGTATCTCTTTCTTAGCTAACTGCTGTGCCCAGAACATCCAATACTATATTGAACAGTAGGGCTGAGAATGGGCGGACTCATCTTGTGCCTGATCTTAGATGGAAGGCTTTCAGTTTTTCACCAACTCTAATGCTTGTGTGGGCTGTAGTATATGGCTTTAACTATGCAACTGTGGCCTGGCCCGTGATCCCTGCAGAGCACTGTGTGGTCTATGACTTTAATTATGCAACCTATGGCTGTGGCCTAGCTTGTGGTCCCCCCAGAGCACTGTGTGGTAAACAGCTTTAACCACGCGACCTCTAGCCATGGCCTGGCACATGGTCCTCCCAGTGCACTATGTGGTTAACAGCTTTAACTGTGCTACCTCTGGCCGTGGCTTGGCACGTGGTCCCCTCAGAGCACTGCAGGTTCTTCAGCAGTTGCATGGACTTGCCGGCCATGATGATCTGTTTCAGCGCGGGCTTGAGGAAGGACACCATGGTGTGTTGCCGGCTAGAGGGCCCCTGCTCGCTGCCAGAGCTCGCACTTGCATTATCACTCATCTTCTCTTCGTTCTCGGTTTTTTCAGAGACGCTGTATAATGTGTATGTCGCATACCAGAAGTCTCTGTGATTTACCGGAACATTCTTATTCCTACACAGATTCAAAGGAATTTAAATGATAACATTTTCTCCGAAAGTGCAAGTCTGTAGCTCAGGCTTATTGTCCAGATTTTCAAGACCTAGTAATATCAATCATCGTAAAACAAGACAAAGGAAGAAAAAAAGATGAAAGAAAACGGCGAGGGCCGGGGTGTTACTACAGTGGGTAGAGTGTTTGCCTTGCACATGGCCAACCCAGGTTCCATCCCCAGCACCACATATGGTCCTCTGGGCACCTGCAGGAGTGATTCCTGAGCATAGATAGAGCCAGGAGTAACCCAAGAATCACCAGGTGTGACCCCCCCCAACAGAAGAGGCAAAACAAAAAAAGTTAAAAAAAAAATGGAATGAGGTTTTAACTGCTGTAGTAAATATTATAGCAAGAAGGAGTAGCCAACTGGGAAAAGTACATACCTTAGTGGCATATGTGGCCATATTTCCTATCTTTTTATATTACCGATATATCTTTTTCTGTTTGTTTATGGGCCGCTCCTGGTGGGCTCAGAGGATCACATGGGGTGTTTGGATGGAACTCAGGCCAGTCACTTGCCAGACAAGCACCTTACCAGCTGTACTATCATCCCAGCTGTACTCTTGGTTTTGGTGCCACCTGGCAGTGCTCAGGGCTGACTCCTGGCTCTGTGCTCAGGGATTATTCCTGGTGGTGACTCAGGGGACCATCTGGGGTGTTGGGAATGGAACCCAGGACAGGCAAGTGTAAAGCAAGAGACTTACTAGACTATCACTCTGGCGCCTACTGATATATTTTTACATATTACTTTCAAGTTTATATTACAGCTCCCATCACTCAAGACATACTGGGAGTAACTGAAGTCATGTCACCAAAGCTCACTGTAGTGGACAATGGGGTCTCTGACCATTACCAGTAGGCCTGATCACGGGAATCATTAAAAAAGATGTGAAGTGATATTAAACTCAGGGAGAAGTTCAAGCTGGTGTCCTCAAGCACTGTGTGGTTATCAGCTTTAACATGAAAACACACAGGATTCAGTTCATGCCCAGCTCCCCTGTGCCAGCCACAGCATCTGAAGGAGTGGAGAGAGGACAGTGTCACCACCTCACCTCTGGATGATGAACTCCCTGGCGCTGTCACAGAGATGCCCATGCACGATCCACTCATCCACGATCTGCAGGTAGGGCCTCACTGTCTCCACCCAGAGAGAGAACAGCAGCGAGACCTGGGGGAGATACACAAGCCGACCTCAGTGTTCTTGGGCTCCGCAGGCAAATGGGTGCCAACGATTCCAAGTATCTTTGCAAGGGACCTGATTTCTATGCTTTTGAAAAAGAAGAAACTAAAATCCCAAACTCATGCAAATCAGAGTGAGCCATAAGGGGCAGTGCCCAAGAGGTCCCTCCCAAGAGCAAATGTTCCAGGGGAAATGGTCTCAGCCGACTTCAGCCAAGAATGAGAAAGTGGAGCTGCAGCACAGGCTCTGCATGTGGGAGGCCTGGGGTCAACCCCTGGAGCCACAGAGTCTCCCAAGCACTGCTGCACGGAGCAATCCCCAAGCACAGAGGGAGGGGTGGCCCCTGTACAGCCCTGAGCATGAGATTCTACCTCAGCTGGAAAGAAATGGCATAATTCAAAGAGACCAATTTTATATTGGAGAACAGTCCCAGGTGATAAGATGGTAAGAGAACAAGTCACCCTCTTAAACCCAGAGCTGCAACTTTCCCAGCCGAGGCTCAATGCGCATCCTGGCACGGGCATTGGCATTGAATGGAGAGAGAGAGAGAGAGAGAGAGAAGAGAGAAGAGAGGAGAAAGAAGAGAGGAGAAAGAGAGGAGAGAGAGAGAAGAGAGAGAAAAGAGAAAGAGAGAAGAGAGGAGAGAGAGAAGAATAGAGAGAGAAAAGAGAGGAGAGAAAAGAAAAACAGCAAGAGGGAGGGGGAGAGAGAGAAAGAAAGAGGGAGAGAAAGAGAGAGGGAGGGAGGAAAAGCACCTACCACAGAGGCAGGCAGAGGGTGGGGTGATGGGAAGGAACCTGCGGACACTATTGCTGGGAAATGTACACTGGTGGAGTGATGGGTGTTGGAACACTGTATGATTGAAATCCAATGATGAACAGTTTTGAAATGGTCTATCTTACAGTGATCCAATAAAAAATGTAATGGAATTCATAACAGTATACAGTATATTCACCCTGTCGTGAAACAGACCTTGAAAAGTTTTTGGGTTTTTTTTGGCCACACCCAGCAGTGTTCAAGGCTGACTCCTGGCTCTGTACTGCCAGGGGACCTTGGGTGCCAGGGTCGGAATCTGGGTGGGCAAGCACCCTACCCCCTATACTATTGCTCTGGCCCCTCCAGAACTTTGTGTTTAAATGAAAACTATTTTTCCCTCCCTTGACTCATTTTCCAGATATCATGACAAGGTCTGCTAAAGAGCCAGTTTCATGCAGCCTCAAATCCATATGCTAAACAAAAAGTCTGGAAACACAGTCAATGGAACAATTATCTTTTACAAACAGCAATACCAGGATTGTGCTCGGGGCTGGGGTTAAGATGAAAAGAAAAAAGCCATGCAGGAAGCCACCCCTCTGGCAGAGCGAGACTAGGGGCGGTGTTGGTGAGCAGGGAAGGGGCAACGTACAGTTTGCTTAGAGGCTTCCCCAACACTGTCGTACTCGAGAATGGCCTTGTACAGTGTGTTGAGCAGGTGTGACGCCCGGACGACATTTCGGGTGTTGGGTGGAACTTCGGCAACGCCAGTACTGAACACTCTGTGCAGCACCTGAAGCTGAGCCAGTCGAGGTGACAACTTGTCCACCACTATTGCAAGAGTTACCGTCATCTCTGTGGACAGGGAGAAAGACACCTGCTTGAAAATGTGACATGACAGGAAAACTGGGTCCAGGGAGAGGTGACAGGTGCTGTGTCACATGTTAGGAAGAATGAATTCTCCCAAAGACAAGAAAATAATGTGGGCGAGAACTCAAATGTTCACAGCAAAGGAAATAAGTTTGTTCTTCACCGACACACCTCACCTCCTTACAGTGAAATGTGAAATTACTCTACTGGGGAGAGAAAAACCAGCCCACAGTAGGCTCCGGCGGCAGGGAGGGGCCGACTCCAACGTCTCTCGTAGGCCGGTACAGCACCACATCCGAACATGGACTAGTCAAATGAACGTACATCTGACAAAAGTCACAGAGCCACAAAGATGGCCACATTCCTCCCCCAATGCCAGGCTGACTGAGAGAGGTGCTCCAGTGACCGTGGGACTGATCAAACGAGGGTTGGCCACACGAAGCGCAAACCCCTGAAGCTCTGCACAACCTCTCTGGCCCTAGTTTCCTAGTTTTGGGAACACACTACAGGTGTCTCCACTGTAGGAGACAGAATATGACTTCTCCTTTCAGCTGTTCTTCATGGTAGCTGAAAGCAGTCCCAGGGGGCTGGAGCTATAGGACAGGGGAGAGGGCACCCGCCTTGCACTTGGTCAGCCCGGGTTCAATCCCCAGCATCAAATACGGTCCTCCAGCCCACCAGGAGTGATCCCAGTGTGAAGAGCCAGGAGTAAGCCTTGAGCAACCTCAGGTGTGGCCCAAAAAAAACAAAAGCCAAAGGAAAAGTAGTCAAAGGGAAAAGGCTACACAGGGTTATCAACTCACAGTTCCAACTTCGATGGCAAGACTAGGCAAGAACATCAATTTATTGGGTTGTATCTCCATGGCAACACCTATCAAATCATGCAAGCTATCACGTGCCCTTTGATCTAGCAAAGGCATCATTTTATTCCCCTCCTGTATTGGCTTTTAGGCCACATCCAGTGGTGCTCACCACATCCTCTTGGTTCTGTGCACAGGGATCACTACTGCTGGGAGCCAGGGGACCATATGGGTACCAGGGATCAAACCCGGGTTGGCATGCCTCTTACCTGTTATACTATCTCTCTGGCCCCAAAAATTCCATTCTAAGAACAGATGATGCATGTTACTTGCTGCACACATACAAAATCCCTTACATGTTAGAGATTATCACCACAGCACTGCTGCTAATAAGAAGATCAGACCAATCTAAGCATCTACCAAGAGTTGGCTGCTTTATGATATAACCATGTAAGAAAGCACTCAAGGTTGTAAAGAAATAATGAGGCTCTTTATCTACTTGTATGTATAATTCTCACAATTTAAATCAGAACTTTTAAGGGTTGTTAGGCACGCGGATGCATGGCATTTAAACTGTTTCTGGAAAGATCCACGAAGACCTCAGGGGCTCTGGCATCTCTGGAGCTGCTGAGGACTGTTGGATGGGCAACAGGGGAAAAAGGAAGAAGTTTTACCACAAATCCTTCTGTCTGGGTTTTTAGATTTATCAATGGTTTAAAATTGGAAATTTTAGTAAAGGCCCTCCCGTTGATCGTCGATTTGCTCGAGCGGGCCCAGTAACGTCTCCATTGGAGACTTTGTTGTTACTGTGTCTGGCATATCGAATACTCTCGGTAGCTTGCCGGGCTCTCCGAGAGGGGCGGAGGAATTGAACTCGGGTCGGCCATGTTGGCCGCTTGTAAGGCGAACGCCCTACCGCTGTGCTATCACTCCAGCCCATTTAAATTATTTAAATTTAAAATTTTAAATAATTTTAAAAATGACGTGGGATGGGGGGATGGCTCCAGGGCTTTACAGTCGGGAGTCCTGGCCCCTCCCTGGCACTGCAAGGGCCCTGAGAAACAAGCCCTGGTGCTGCCTAGGCCCAGACAGACCCAGAGCGCATCGTGTTACTTGCTGCCATGCAATTGCCAAGCCTTTAAAAACTCAGTAATATGAACTACACATCTTGAATACAAGGCAAAAACATTGGTTTACCGTTACTGATGATGCACTTCTCAATTTCTGCCAGCTCTTCTTTGAAGCTGATGAAGTATTTGTACAGGGCCCACATGAAAGCCTGGTATGTTCTAAAGGGGGCGTCAGTGGGCTTCTTGGGCACGGGGCCACTCCCAGGGCCCATGTGCTCAGAGCTATGCCCCAGGATTTCATCAATAAACTCCTGCAGCCGAAACACCACCTGGCCATATGCAGCAATCTGCTCCAGCACGGACCGCAAGCAGTTCTGGGAGGGAACGGCAAGAGGACAGGTCAGTCTCCGAGCGAACCACAGATCCTTGTTCTGCAACAGCCACGGGACTACTTTAACTATGCTGAGTAGAAGACAAAACCAATACCTTGCTTCCTATTATAATGGAATAGCATGAGCACTGATTCCTACAGCGCACAAAATGGTGGCTTATGTTCTCTGGTTTATTTTTCATTTTGGGGATCACTCCAGCAATGCTCAGGGCCTACTCCTGAATCTGCACTCAGAAATCACTCCCGGCAGTGCTCGTGGGACCTCGCGGGATGCCTGGGTTTGAACTTGAGCTGGCGCATACAAGGCAAGTGCCTCCCCACTGTACTATCTCTCCAGCAGATGTGGGTTGTATTTTTTAAATACAGATACAAGGTAAAAAAATTGGAAAAATAAATTACAGCATTCCCAATACAGAATGACAACTATAAAACAGAGAAAACACAAATTAAAATCAAGTATAAATATCACAAATATATTTTGTGGAGTTCATGCACAATTCAATCAGCTAATCAGTGGCTGAATAAATAGCAGTACTCCTACATTTAAAAAAATATAGCACAAATATATTTAAAAATTCTCTAAGCACTTAAAAGTTGCAAACTTGGCTTTAAGGGTCTGCTATTATCCAATAACTAATTTTAATATTTGAAAATGCTATAAATTTGTTACCATGGATTAAATTCTACTAATTTATGCTAATCATAGTAAATACAAATAACTTACATGTGTCAAATGAGTTACTATTATATTGTTTCTCACAGTAACTTTCCCATCTATCAACTGAAATATGAAGAGCTTTTTGACTCCTGAAAGTAACCTGAAATGAAGTAAATAAGATAAAATTACATTTACGTCTAGAAAATACTGTAGTAAAATCAAAGAAACTTTAGTAAAAGATTCAGAACAGTTGGGGGTGGGTGGAAGAGGTAAAATAAAAGAGAATGAAACACGTTAATTTTTTCATCACCTTAAGACTCGAAACATTTTAATAGTACCTTAGAATTTCCATCAGTATTAGCAAGGCATTTCCCACCTGTAATGGCCCAAACACATACCCACCATTTTTTAGTTTACTGGGGACTCACCAGATAGTGCTCAGGAGAGATCCCTGGCAGGGCTTGGGGGGACTGAACCAGGGCTGGCTTCGTGTAAGACAAGCCCAACTCCTGTGCTATCTCTCCAGTCCCAATCGGCCCGTTTTTTTTTTTTTCTTTTTGGGTCACACCCGGCGATGCACAGGCGTTACTCCTGGCTCATGCACTCAGGAATTACTCCTGACGGTGCTCGGGGGACCGTATGGGATGCTGGGAATGGAACCCGAGTCAGCCGCATGCAAGGCAAATGCCCTACTGCTGTGCTATCGCTCCAGCCCTAATCTGCCCATTTTTAAGAATGTTACTATTATATTCTAAAGCAGAGAGGACCAGAATCTGGAAATCTCGGCATCTATACTGTTCTTATTTTTGTGAACACAATTTCTGTTCTTATATTCTAGGAACTGGTTTGCACTGTTTGAATAAGGCAAGGAGAAAATAAAAAGCTTTGAACTGAGACATTAAAACAGAGGTCTCATTCAATGAAACAATATGTGCTTACTCACTACAATAGAAAAGGCATTGATGGAGCCCACCAGGAGTGATCCCTGGGCACTGCTGGGTATGACACAAAAACAAGAAATCTACTTCCAGAAAATACACAGCCCCTTCCCCAGTACACCACACATTATTTACACAGACAGGAGCTGGAACCAACCGCGTGAAGAGTACAGAGCAGACGTTACGTAAACTGTCGGACTCTCCATTTGCAACAACGGGGATGAGCACAGAGCTATTCGCTTAGTGAAATAAATCAAATGAACTAAATAAAACAAAAACAAACTTTCGGGTGCTGAGAGCAGATCGGTGGTTACTGGGGGGAAGAGGAGGTAAGCCTGATGAGAAGGGCAGACTGTGAAGGAGAGAGCTGGACGCCCAGTGATGACCTTTATATCGTCCCTACAGATGCTCTTTTGACATGAATGTGGGCCTGGAAACTAATAGACTATGATGTTCTTCAATAAAAAGCTATATATTTGGCAGGAAGACAGCATAGCAGATAGGGCACGGCCACCGCATACGTCCTGCCTTTCCCTATCCCCCAACCCGCCAGGAGGGATTCCTGAGTGCAGAGCCAGGAGTAAATCCTGAGCACCACTGCTACTGTTCCCAAACCAAATTGTTGTATATTAAGAAAAGTTAAAATCCAAAACTCTGTTTCGCACCAATAGTCTTCTAGACAGTTACGAGATCTTACCAGAGGGTTTCACGAATAACCTGAGTCTCAGTAACCACAACCCTATCTTCTGAGATATACAATGGATCACTGCTGTACAAGTGCTGGTCCCTGTTAAACGACAAAGAGCAAAAAGCAGTCCAAAGGTCTCTAAGTAAATATATGTCGCAGTGAATATATGCGATTTCATATTAAACTAATCAGTAATCGTGAAGCAACCGTAAAGTGACAATTTAGGCCCACTTCCCCATATCACTTTCACACACTTGTTGAAACGCTCTCAGAGCAATGGGATTATTGCAGTTGTTGAAGATCATGCACATGCTTGAACTCATGGACTGTCATTTTGTGGGCAAAAACACTTATTGCATGGCTGGAGCAATAGTACAGCAGGCAGGGTACTACTCACACAGCTGACCCAGGTTCAATCCCCGAGCCACACAGGATCACACAGGATCCCTGAGCTCCACCAGGAGGATGCCTGAGTGCAAAGCTAGGAGTAAGCCCTGAGCACCACTGGGGGTGGCGTGGGCCAACCCCCAAGCCCAGAACAGAAATCAAGCGAATTTTACCGTCACCTATTATTTATGAAAATATATTATAATTGTAATCTCATTAAAAAACCGTAACAAGGTGGCCATGGAGAGAGTTCAAAGGACTAGAGTACATGACGGCACATCAGACACTGAGTTTGGTCCCTGGCAACTTGAATACTACTGGTTGTAGCTCTGGTGGTCTCTCGCTCCAACTGTGCCAAGGAGCCCACGTGGCCAGGGGGAGCCCTGCACTGACAGGACACGCACAGCAGTCAGAACTCCTTCATCAGAGCCAACACAAGTCTAAATGTCAAGGAATCACTTGAACAATATCAAAAATGGAAGCAAATAGTAAACATGGAAACCTCGGCTTCTTACCAGACAGCAGCCAAATTGGAGTGCAAGTGTAAGCTATGAGGAAACGTTGAGGGCCTGGACGTCCAGTACTGACGGACCACATGCTGCTCCAGCCAGCTTCGGTCATCAGACCCATCTATATGAGGAAATTTAGGAAATTTGTTGTCAGACAAAACAAAAGTAATACTTGACCAACTTGCCTCCGACTCATGCTCCACTCCAACAGCCTACTGAAAAGATCATAAAATTGGAAAAGGGAAAAAAAGGTAAACAACAGCGAAGGGGTCGGTTAGTACAAGGGTTATTCTATCTGCACACAGCCGAAGCCAGGCACTGAATGTGATCCCCTGAGCACTGCCAGGAAGAGCCCTGAGCACAGCTGGATATGGCACCAAAGCAAAAAACGGCTTGAACTGGGGCTGCAACACAGCTGTATCTGGCCTTGCATTTTGAAGGCCCTGGGTCCGAACCCTGCCCTGGCATCACAAAAAATAGTAACTGACAACAATTATGAACATACTCATGTAAGCCACATACATTATAGACACAGAATTTGTCACTGACTAGAAAGTCAAACCAAATTGACAAATTACCCCATGTAAAAGCACACTATAGGGCTGGAGCAGTATCATGGCTGGAAGGGGCCTCGTCTTATGCAAAGTCAGTCCAGATTTGATTGTCAGCACTACATATGGTCCCTGGTCTCATCAGGAGTTAAATCTCCTGGTGGGAGAGCAGAGCTGGGAATAAACCCTGAACAACTGGCGGGAGTAGCCCCAAACCAAAGCCAAACAAACGTACACTATATTGCACAGTTCAACAATCATAAAAATTAAGATGGTAGTCAAAGACAGATCCAAGGACCTGCCAAGCCACGGGATTTTGGCTTTAAAGGATCAGCTATTATAGCTGTTCTAGGAAACAGGAAAAGAAAAAGCTTCCTAACATTTTATGAGTCTAATATAGCGTTGCTTCAAAAACCACATAAACAGGGACTGGGGCAATAGTACAGAGGTATAGTTAATCCGTTCTGTTCTGAGGCAGTGGCAGAATTTGAATCTTGAAGCTCACATATACAAGGCAAACGCTGAAACATATATCTCAAAGATGACTGAAATCTTTCAGTGGTTTTGTGGTTTTGGGGCCATACCTAGCAATGCTCTGGGGTTACTTCTGGCTCTGAGCTGAGGAATCACTCCTGGCAGTGCTCAGGGGCCCGTATAAAGTGCCGGGTATTAAACTCCAGTCGGCCACATCCAAGGCAAAAGTCATCCCCGCTGTCCCACTGCTATGGCCCCAATGACCAAAATCTTGAATGTTGCTTGCAACTCTTTGTAAAGCCTACCAATTCAAAGTTCTCCACAACAATCCAAAAGAAACAATGGATACTCCCATTAAAAAATAAATCCTAGGGGCCATGGGCTGGAGTGATAGCACAGCAGGTAGGGCATTTGCCTTGCACGTGGTCGACCCTGGTTCGATTCCTAGCATCCTATAAGGTCCCCTGAGTACCGACAGGAGTAATTCCTGAGTGCAGAGCCAGAAGTAACCCCAAAAAGCAAAAAAAAAAAAAAAAAGCAAAAAAAAAAAAAAGTCATAGGGGCCAGCAGGTAGGGCACTTGCTGATAGGGCACCGAGTTAACCCAGGTTCGATTCCTGGCATCCCATATGATCCCTGGAGCTCTGCCAGACATGATTCCTGAGTGCAGCCAGGGGTGATCCCAGAGCACTGCTGGGCACGCCACCTCCCCCTCCTCTTTACCCCCTCCAAAAGAAACTAAAATAAAATCACTCTGGGAACAAGGAGACAGTTTAAAGGACAGAGCGCAGAGCACTTTGTCACTGGCACTCCAGGTCCCACCGGACACTGTGCAGCTACCTGAGCACTGTGGAGGAACCCCCAGGACTGAGCCCAAAGTGACCTCCAAGGGCTGTGGATCTTCCTTTTGCGTGACTACTAAAAGAGTTTTCAGCGGGGCTAGAGCGATAGCACAGTGGGTAGGGCATTTGCCTGCACACGGCCGACCTGGGTTCGATTCCCAGCATCCCATATGGTCCATATGGAGTGATAGCACAGCAGGTAGGGCGTTTGTCCCATATGGTCCCCCAAGCACCACCAGGAAAATTCCTGAGTGTGTGAGCCAGAAGTAACCCCTGTGCATTGCCAGGTGTGACCCAAAAAGAAAAAAAAAAGAATTTCCAGGAATTTAGCCCACCCCCAATGAAAAATCAAAGTACAAATATAGGACAAACAAAATCCTTAGTACTAGCAAAGAACAAAATCACACTGTGCTTCCTTCAACATTAATTTCATAATGCTGCTTCTTAGGCAAGCTTTATGAATGGTTTAAAAAGATTTGTTTTAGAAGGATGGCAGAGCTTGCCAACAATATTAAATGATACATAACTCATTCTCAAAGACTTCCCTTCCTTCTCAAAAGACCCTCCACTAGAGAGAGAGAGAGAGATGCCAGCACCTAAGGCACACATAGAAATACCAGACCCTGGCATGCAGAGACACACGGGCAGATATGGACACACACACACACACACACACACACACACACACACACACACACCTTTCCAGCTGACCCGAGACCCCAGTTTTCTGCTTTGATCTTGTTCTTCTAATGGCGTCCTGTCCACCTGAATCCCAGAGTCCTCTCTGCTCAAGGGCTGCTGGTCATCTTCATCTTCACTTTCTTCTGACCAGTTCTGATTAAGAAAAGAAATACAGCTTTCCCTTAGAGAATATAACTGGAACTATGCAGATCAAAAAAACTGAGAAGAAACACAATAATGAGAGCAAACTGCTTTCTTTTAAAAGTATCCTGAAAGCGCCCAATACTGGACCAAATTGTTTTGGGGACAAAATCCTAGGACTCACAGTGTAAGGATACTTAAGCACAGTGTGTTCTGCTAAATATTCTAGTACTGATTTGATGGGGACCTTCAAGTCTTTCATAAAAATGTGCAATGACTGTTTCTGTTGTAGTTAAGCTGTTCCAAGGAAGAACCACAACTATCACTTTGCAAGCTCCTGCACTTTCCTGTCTGTTTTTTTTTTAAGTGATGCAAAATAGCTTTTATTGAACAATACTTAGAAAGATGAGAGGAAGGAGAAAGGAATATGTATTTAAGAAGCAGAGAGACATAGAGAGAAGCAAGTGAGAGATGTGTTCAAGGGAAAACAGAGGTCTGAAGGAGAAAGCATTTTTCGTGGGGAGCAAGGGGGCACACCTGGAGATGTTCAGGACTTACTCCCAGCTCTGTGCTTAGGGACCAATCCTGGCAGGATTCAGGGGACCATATGGGTTGTTAGCAATCAAACCTGAGTTGGCCATGTGCGAGATTAATGCCCAACCACTCTACTATCCACCTTCCCCACACACACCCTTTAAAAAAAAACAAAAACTAGTGTCTGTAACCAAATTTATCCCTGAAGCCCAGGTAAGGGAATCAGGGCCCATGAGTCACATGCTGCTGTGGCAGCCTTTTGGGCCAGTGTCTGCCATGGGTCGGGCAGGCACTGAATTTGACACAGCTGCAAGCTCCTATACTTTCAATAGCAAAAGAGTTGCCACTTACCGGTGTGTCTACATCTGGACCAAGGTCAATTTCTTCACCTTCCAACAAATATTTGCCCCAGTCAAAGTCATCTTTCTTTTCTAAAATATAGTAACAGAAGAATTTCATCTAAGTTATAATTTAAAATGTGCAAATAAAGGAAAAGGTCGGACAAAATTCAAAAACTACTCAATAAATTTTTTTGGTTTGGGGCCACACCCAGCAATGCTCAGGGCTTACTTCTGCTCTGCGCTCAGGACTCACTCCTGGCGAGCTCAGGGGATCATCTGGGGTGCTAGAAATTGAACTTGGGTCGGCTGCGTACAAAGCAAACGCCCAACCGCTGTATAGTCTCTCCAGCCCCAAGAAATACTTAATTATCTAAATTTAAAATCTTATTTCATCTTCAAAAGTGGTTTTCCTTCTTACATAATATTTTAAATAAAAAATTCTAATCACATCTAAAACAACAGGACTCTTTATTTCATAGCTTTAAAACTTTTTATAAAATCTCAATGCCAAATGATTAAGTTATAAAACCAGTATTTCTCTTATGTAGCACAGGCTAGAGAATCTGGTAACATACCCACTTCTTTATCTCTTGGAGTTTCCACATAGTTGCTGTTGGAAGGAGAATCGGACAGACACAGAAGAAGGGACAGGATGGAATAGTGTGCATCTGTCTTTGAAACAAAAGTGAAAAGGATCAATTACTCAGGTTGCCAATCACTTTCTTTCTTGTGGGATGAGGAGGGTTTGGACTCTACCTGGCGGTGCTCAGGGCTTACACATGGCTCCCTGCTCAGGAATCACACCTTGCTGGGAATCAAACCAAGATCGGCTGTGTCCAAGGCAAATACCTTAACCCCTATGCTATTTCTGTAGTCTTAGCATTTTCTTAGGAATTTTTGCATATAGAAAAAATAACCCCATGACAGCTACGTTCCCTTCTCCCTCCTACTTTAAGAAAACATGATTTATACTTAAAGCAACCTGTTCTCTAGACTTTTCAGTTTAAATGTATACACAGAAGCAATCTGCCAAAACATCTTACCAGAACCATAATGAGAAACAGTCAGTAAACAGTCAGGTAAACAGGAGAGGTCACTGCTGAGCTGTCAATATTCTCTAGTCTATCCCAGAGAGAGCTCATGGGGTATGCTGTGCATGTGTGAAGTCTGAACTCAAAGCCAGAGTTATCCATGAGCATCATAGGGTGTGACCCCAAAACCAAATCAAGAAAAAGGCAGAGGAACTAGTTAGATTAAAGGGTGCCAACAGGGGCTGGAGCGACAGCACAGTGGAGAGGGCATTTGCCGTGCACGTGGCCAACCCAGGTTCGATTCCCAGTGTCCCATACGGTCCCCCAAGCCCCGCCAGAAGTAATTCCTTAATGCATGAGCCAGGAGTAACCCTTGTGCATTGCCGAATGTGACCCAAAAAGCAAAAAAAAAAAAAAAAAAAAAAAAGTGCAAACAGATGGATCTGAGGACTCTCCCACCCTCCCAGCTGTACACCAGGTGCGGGTGAGCTCTTCTGGGTCCCAGTACTTGCTGCACATTGTCAGAGTCATTAGGAGAATCATGTCCCTAAGCAAAGCTGGCACCAAGCTTCTGGACTCTGCCCTTGTGGCTCTCACCTGGGCTTATTTTAGTTTATTTTATTCACTACAGTAAACTCATACAGCAGAAGGACAGCATAGGTTTTTTTTTTTTTTGGAGCACTATGAATCTATGTAGCAAATTTCTAAGACAAAGGTCTTGGAAGTCACTGGCACTAGCAACAATTACATGCCAGGTGTTAACATTACCTAGTGCCAGGAAGCCAGCCAAAAACTTTAAGATGGGGGGAGGTGTCAGAGTAATAGTACAGCGGGTAGGGTGCTTACCTTAACTTGCACCCATCTGAGCCAGGTGCGAGACCTGGCATCCCAGATGGTGACCTGAGCCCTGCCAGGAGTAACCCTGAGCTCAGCGCAAGGAAGAAGACCTGAGTATTGTCAGGCTAAGCCCCAAAACAAAAGAAACAGAATTTAAGATGGCCACGAGCATTATCCTTTGTAGCCACATCTGATCTGAGATCCACAGAAGGCGGTCACTGGAAAAAATGGGTCTGTTTTTTGATGACAATACTCAAGTCAATTCCCAAAAACTGAGCTTCGGTCAATGGAGAACACTACAATAGGACTTAGGTATGAACAGAAATGTTGATGATAATCAAGTTATAAAAAAAAAACAATAAAAAAGTCACAACAGAAGCCATACCTTTATTTCTTTAGTGCTTGGAAGCGGGGCATTTAGAAATTCCTCAGTTAATCTCTTCCAACTAGCAGCTTTGTTTAGATCAGAATGAACAGTGAACTTCTCATAAATTCTGAAACACATTAAAAAAAAATCAACTGACAATTTAAAAGTCTGTATTAAGAAATAAGATCTCAAGAGAAAAGGAATATTTCTCAATACGTACAAACACACATATACAACTGACTTACCCTTCTATTATCTTTTCTATTTTGTGACTGTCAACATCAAGGAAACGATGAAATCTGAAAAATAAAATGCCACTCGTCTATTTCTCTTCTGCTACAGATGAGTTTTCAGTTTCATGGTCCTCCCTCCACCCACGCCCAGCCCAGTTTCCAGGGGCGGGGGGGGCTTATTTCTTTCCTCCCACCACCTCCACCCACAGAAACAGCCACTGCATCACAGATGGCTCAAGACCGGACTGGCAGCTGAATGGTCTGAGGGAAACTCCCACCCTGTGGCTGGCTCCTGATTCCCACCATACCCCTCCTTCCCACACCTCCCATACCACAGGTGTATGTATATCTGGGGGCTGGGAGGCAGGGTTCCTAAACTGCTCGAGTCCAGTGAAACTCCACCCATTCAGGCCAGCAGTTTTGGAGGATGTGGTGCTGCTCAGGACCTCTGCTCAGGACCTGGTGCTGCTCAGGTCACCTCTGCAATGCCTCCAGGGCTATCCCCAGACAAGTGCAGGGGTGGGGTATGGACCTAAATAGCTACATATCTTCTTGCTCTACAGGTCCCTGGTCTTTCTGTAGAGATACAGTCTATGACACCCTTTTTAGAGCAACGATTTTTTCTTTTTGGCTTTTTGGGTCACACCCAAAGATGCTCAGGGAACCATATGGGATGACAGAGATCAAAACCAGGTAGGCCCCGTGTAAGGCAAACACCCAACTCACTATCACCCCCGCCCATCGGAGCAATGGTCTTGAACCGTAAAATACAGAGTAAACCCGGCAAGCTGAAATATGAAGCTGGTATCCGGGCAGGGGCTGGCAGGATCTAAATGCCAGTCTGATTGGCAGCTCACTTCCCTCTGTGTAGCCTAGATAAGCAAGTGAGTTCGTGTCGCTTTTAACTACAGCATTTGGAAGCTGGGAAAAACGCCTCATTTGCAGGTGGACCCTGCCCAGCCCCTGCTGCGCCAGCAACTTCACGCCGCAGTTCTCCCCTAAGCCCTGCGTGTCCCGATTCCCGACCCACCGCCCCCTGCAGCCCTAGTGATCGGAGCGCAGGAGCACCCTTGGAAAGAGAAAGGACTGGGTCCACTCTGAAACCTGGGGCTCATCTGCTTCTCCCCCAGAGCAGGACGTGAAAACGCGGCCCGACAGCATCCACACTCGGTAGATCCGCAGGGATTCGGGAGCGATCTCCAGGCGGTTCACGCGGCACGTCCATGGGGCCGAGTCTCCTCCGGGCAAGTGCCAAGGCCCCCACTAGCCCCCGTCCCCGCCCAGGGCCCTGCGAGCCCCCCGCTCCCGTCCAGGACCCCCCGACGAGCCCCCGCTCCCGTCCAGGACCCTACCCACACCCCCGCCCCGTCCCCGCCCGGGACCCGATCTGGCCCCCGGTCCCCGCCCGGGCCGCCGACGCGCCGCTCGGTCCCCTCGGCTCCGCGCCCCGCCCCGAGTGCCGTCGGCTCCGTCCCCGCGTGCAGGGGACGAGCTCGGGGCGCGGCTGCGGGACAGGCGGTCGCGGCGGGCCCGAGGACGCTGCGGCGCGGGAGAGATCCCGGAGCTGCCCGGCCCCGCCACGCACCTGAAGTGGGACCAGGCGAAGTTCACGGCGAGCTGGAAGTTGGGGTCCGCCTCGTCGCGGAGGCCCGCCACGCGGCGGAGGAGCGCGCGCACGTCGCGCTCCAGCGGCCGGTCCGGGCGGCCGGCGGGCGGCGCGGCCAGGGCCATCTTCCCGCCCGGCCGCCGCGGAGACCCGCGCCTCTCGCGAGAGCTCCCGCCCCCGCCGCCGCGGCGCGCCGCGATTCGCGCCTACTCTCGCGAGAGCCCCCGAGCAGCTGCGGGCGCGGCGGGCTGGGTCTGGCGTCCGCCTCCGCGGGCCGTGGGGTCGCGCGGAAGAGGCCCGGAGCTGAAAGAGAGAAATTCGCCGGAGAGTCGGAGAAGGAAGAGAAGGCGCTGGTGGGAGCGACAGCGGGGAGGGCCTGCAGCGCGCCGGCCGGGCTCGCTGGGACCCCCGGCGTCCCCGTGAGCCCCCCGAGCACCGCCAGGAGTGGCCCCTGAGCACCGCCGGGTGTGACCCCAAAAGCGAGAAATGAAAGGAAGGAGGAAAGGCGCGCTCCAGCTGGGAGGAACTTAGGAGAGGGCTGAGTTGTGAGAGTGTTTGTTTGTTTTTGGGTCACACCCGGCGGTGCTCAGGGGCCACTCCTGGCGGTGCTCGGGGACCCTAGGGGATGCCGGGGATCGAACCCGGGCCGGCCGCGTGCGAGGCAAACGCCCTCCCCGCTGCGCTGTCGCCCCAGCCCCAGTTTTGTGAGACCTTTGCAGGAAGCCTGGGCCTGTGTGTGCGGAGGATGCGGGGGCTCTGCAGGGGCGTCCGGCGGGTTTGTCTTCCCGGCACCTGCCTCGGGTGTCGCCGTTATCTTAGTCTCGTGGCTCCCTCTTCTGGGGCAGAAGAAGACGGAGCTGAGGAGCCTCCAGGATGTTGGAGATAAGGCGGTGTGGATGAGGTGTTGTTTTCTCCATCGCGGGAGAAATGGAACTGCTGGGGAAGGCAAAGGGAAACTGAGGCTTCCTCTTTTGCCTCCGTTGGATATTAACCCTAAGTGTTCTGGGCTTCATCAGAGAATTGCCCCTTTTCCGCCTCAGAAAAGCTTGTCCTGCCCCTGCCAGCATCCCTAATTTAAAGTTTATCTTTAACCTTTCCTTTGTGTTGGATATTAACCCTAAGTGCTTTAGGTTTTATCAGTGAATCTCCCTCTTTCCTCCTCCCAGAGACGCTTACTACACTTGCTAGCATCCCTAATTTAGTTAAAGTCTGCCTTTAACCTTTCCTTTGTATTTTATCTCTCATTGGAACAGTTCCCCAAGTCAGTCTTATAAGCCAAAACTGGTCATTCTGAACTTTGTACTGCTTTGTTTTTGAAGCCCTGTGTATATGTGCCTGCTTTTCTATTTCCCCTGTAGACCTTTTACATTTTACTATAGAGTAGTGTTCTTTGGTAAAACACAGAAAGATCATTAATGCTATGCTCATAACATTTGGGAGTTGATTGACTCTGAGATATATCTACTCCTGGGCATAATTACATGGTCATCATTACTTGACTCGGGCTTCAGCTGCATAGGTCATAACACCCCAAAAGGGAGGTCCTGCCATGGGACTGAGATGGAACTGGGGTGAGTGGCAAAACAACCCTAATTTCAAAATGGGACAATCTAGAAAGCATAAACGCATGATGGAAACTTATGACTTAGAGACAGGACCTCCATGGGGAAGGACAAGCTGAACTGGCCTAAGGACTTAGTCTGGGGTTTACACTAATTACACCAAAAGCCTTACTTGCTCTCACAGCCTAGAGAGCTAAGTGTTGGGATCTTTGTCTCTTACTCTGTTTATCCAAACAACTGCAAATATTGGTAACTTATGCAACTAGAGGGAAAGATAAAAGCAATATAGATGTCCTGGGGGACAGAGTGTTTCCTTGGATTAATCTCCCCAAGAGAATTTCCTCTGCCAAATGTTTATCTATGTAAATGATAGATCACACCTATGTTCTTACCTCAAGCCCCCCAGATGTTCTGTAAGTATGCTAGCAGCTCTGCATTAAACAGGCTATTTTCTTTTTTTTCCTATTTCTTCACTAGCCTTTATTTTCATTTTTTTTTATTAAAAAAATTTTTAATACTGAGACATCATGAGGTACAGTTGCAGACTTACACATTTTTGTGCTTGGGTTTCAATTATACAATGATCAAATACCATCCCTCCACCAGTGCCCATTTCCCACCACCACGGATCCCAGTATCCCTCCCACCCCCCTTCCCCCCTATCCCACCCTGTCTCTGTGGCAGGGCATTCCCCTCTGTTCTCTCTCTCCTTTTGGGTGTTGTAGTTTGCAAAAGAAACATTGAGTGGCAATCATGTTTGGTCTATAGTCTACTTTCAGCATGCTTCTCCCATCCTGGGAGGATCCTCCCAACACCTTTATTTGGTGTTCCCCTCTTTATCTGAGCTCCCTTTTCCCCTAGTATGTGTGGTTGGCCTCCAAGTCATGGAGTAAAATTCCTGGTACTAATCTTGGCCATTCTTGGGTGTTAGTTTTCTATTTTGTTACTTTATGTTCCCCAGATGAATGCAATCTTTCTATGTCTATCCCTTTCTTTCTGAGTCATTTCACTTAACATGATACTTTCCATGTAGTACCACTTGTATGTAAATTTCGTGACTTCTTCTTTTCTAACAGCTACATAGTACTCCATTGTGTAAATGTACCAAAGTTTCTTTAACCAGTCATCTGTTCTTGGGCACTCAGGTTTTTTTCCAGATTCTGGCTATTGTAAAGAGTGCTGCAATAAACAGGCAATTGCAGATGTCACTTCGACTATACTTTTTTGCCTCTCTGGGATATATTCCCAGGAGTGGTATTGCTGGGTCAAATGGGAGCTCAATTTCTAATTTTTTGAGAATCATCCATACTGTTTTCCGAAAGGGCTGAACCAGTCAGCATTCCCACCAACAGTGAAGGAGTGTCCCTTTCTCACCACATCCGCGCCAGCACCGGTTGCTTTTGTTCTTGTGGATATGGGCCAGTCTCTGTGGTGTGAAGTGATATGTCATTGTGGTTTTGATCTGCATCTCCCTGATGATTAATGATGTGGAACATTTTCTCATGTGCCTTTTAGCCATTCGGATTTCTTCTTTGTGAAAATTTCTATTCATTTCATCTCCCCATTTTTTGATGGGGTTGAATGTTTTCTTTTTGTGGAGTTGAACCAGTACTTGGTATATCCTTGAAATTAACCCCTTATCAGATGTGTAGTTGGCGAATATCCTTTCCCATTCTGTAGACTGCCTTTGTATTTTGGTCACTGTTTCTTTTGAGGTGCAGAAGCTTTTTAGTTTAAGATAGTCCCATTTGTCTATCTCTGTTTTCACTTGCTTGGCCAGCGGTGTGACATCTTTGAAGACACCATTAGCTTCTATGTCATGAAGGGTTTTGCCAACTTTTTCCTCACTATACCTTATAGATTCCGGTCTGATGTTGAGGTCTTTAATCCACTTAGATCTTACTTTTGTACATGGAGTTAGGCAGAGATCTGAGCCCATTTTTTTTGCATGTAGCCATCCAGTTTTGCCAGCATAATTCAAACAGGCTATTTTCACCATCAGGCTGTGGTACCCCATCTCCCTGTCTCTGTCTCTCTGTTGGGGAGGCCTGGGGCGGTGGGGAGACGGCTCTGGGCCACTGAACGCAATTGCAGCCCAGCCGGGGAGCATAGGTGAAGGCTGTAGAGGACAGACTTCTCGAAGGAGCCAGTGTTGTTGGGGCATCTCCCTGGAAGCAGCTTCTGTGTATCTGGTGGAAGGGGTGGAAGCTCAGTGAGGCCTTTCGGACGGACACTGATTTCATTTGTTACAGGCAGGAAGATTCGGGAGCCCTGGTAACATGTTGGGGTAACATTGTCTGGATCTTAAAACAGCATGAAGGCCTTTGACACTAAAGACCTGTGAGATTTGCTCATACTGAATGGCATTCTGGCAGATGAAAAAATGACATTCCGAGAATCAAAGATCACTCTGCCCCCAGCACAGAAGACAGGACTTATGGCCCAACTGGCAACAGAAAGCCCCCAGACTGCATTCCATGCTTCCTCACATGCATCCCCTACAGGTAACAGGCCAGACCAAGCACACCACTTCCACTGGTCTTTGCTCCCTTCCCTTGTATCCCCTAAGCATCAAATTACACCCCCTCCCCAACCCCACCAAAAAAAATACCCCATACTGAATAGTCAGGGATGTGGTCTCTGGGTCTGAGTCCAAACATTCATTGCTAATTCTAAGTTTGTCCTTTCTGCTAAATGCTCAAGACAAATACCAGCTCACAGCTCCCCTCTCTCACGTGTGTGTGTGTGTGTGTGTGTGTGTGTGTGTGTGTGTGGTTGGTAAAAGCATTTCTGGATCTGTGGATCTGTGACTATCCTCATCATCCCCACTTACACTGAGGGGGTTCAATAAGGTCAGGAGTTACGGGTCAACTTTAGAACTACAGATAAACTTTCAGCTTCACAGAACTCAGTGCATATGGTCTGGCTCTTAGAGTTCCCAATGTAACCAGTGTCACCTGGCCCACAGTGCTCACCAATTCAGCACAACTTTGGTTGGCTTTTACTGCTTTTCTATATCACTTCAATACTCTGTGCCACTTGCTTTTAGGGGTCTCTTTCCGAATACTTTATTCCTGTCTGCCTTGTTGGGGGAGGACAAGATGGCAAGAGGCCAGAGCATCAGATGCAGAAGGGAACAACAAGTAACAGTGTTGGGAGGATCCATTCGGGTTGAAAAGATGCATGCCGAAAGTAGACTATAGACCAAACACGATGGCCACTCAATACCTCTATTGCAAACCACAACACGCAAAAGGAGAGAGAACAAAAGGGAATGCCCTGCCACAGAGGCAGGGTGGGGGTGGCGGGAAGGATATTGGGAATATTGGTGGAGGAGAATGGGTACTGGTGAAAGAATGGGTAAACAATTATTGTATGACTGAAATACAAAAGTTCGTAAGCTTGTAACTGTACCTCACGGTGAGTCACTGTCACTGTCTTCCCATTGTTCATAGATTTGCTCAAGCGTACCCAGTAACGTCTCCATTTTGAGACTTGTTGTTACTGTGTTTGGCATATTGAATATGGTACGGGTAGCTTGCCAGGCTTTGCCATGCGGGCGAGATACACTCAGTCGCT